AGACTAAGATAAAAGTCTAAATTAAAATGTCGCATAATGCGATCATATCTTTTGATTCATTCAAATGCAAATCATTAAATATCTGGAAACAGGAAATATATGACATAGACCACTTTCATAGTTATGGGCAGCATATATGATTGCGCTGTACTTTGAGGCTAATATGTTATATAACGCTTGCTATAGGTTATAAGAAGCTCTTCATTTATAATTGATTTTTTTTTTAATAGAATACTTACGCTTCCGAAGAATTTTACTTCGAGCGTTTCCACGAGTTTTTCTTTTTTTTTTAAGAAACTAACCGTGAAACGATGAAGCGAGAGCGAGAGCGAGAAAGAGACAGCTGAACGATGAGCTTAGAGCAGATTAAGAAACTACCATTTCGTTCTTTTAGTTTTGAAGTCAAGATCAAGAATACACCCAATAGTAAGACTTTTAATACCTTACACTAGAGCTTCCATAGTATATGGCTTTATGACGGCTTAAATTCTTTATATACCTTAAATTGTAGTATTATTATTGCGTATGTAAAATTACTACCATTTACCAAAGTTTTATTCAGGGTTTTTCCGAAAATTATGTTTTTCCAGGTGTTTATGAAACGCCAGTTTCAAAGCACAAACAATCAACTATTAAAAGGGAAGAAATAGAAGATTAAAGAAATTAAAACGAACGGAAAGGAGAAAATAATCCAAAGTCAACATTCCTTTAGCCATCGACTCTAAATCATCTTATGCCGAAACGAAGCTTTTTATTAAATTCTCAGACAATTTTTTGAAGAAATTAAAATAGATAAACAGTTATCTTCATATTTTCAAGGCGGGGTACAAACAATACAGCGAATAATTACTTTTCTTTTTATTAATTTCGTGTTAATACCGTCGCTTAAAGGCTTTCAACTACGGCGGAGACATTTCCCCAGGGACTTTTCAGCCATGCTATACGTTCAGGTGCAGTTATAGTTGGAATTCAGTGAAGAGAAGAGAGAATTCAATTTTTATACCTTACGCTATCTATGTGAAAATTCTTAATTTTGTCGCATGTCAAGCATCAAGACCGTGCTGCTCTTCTTAGTTGTGTTCGGTAAGATTTTTTATCTTATCATGAGGAGTTTTTGCATAGAAAATACATCTTTGATTGTAAGAAAGTATTACCCATCGCTAGCTATATATATGTCACACCTGTCCGGATCTATTGTAGACGCTACGTCTAAAACAAACGTTGACTTCTTGCAGCAGTCATCGCGTCATTTTCGAATGTTTTCGTATGAAGCGAAGTGCCGTTCAGCAATTGCATGTCGCACCGATGCAAATAAGCGGTAATCACAACAAATTGAGCTTGATGAGTTAATCGCTTGCGCCAGCTGAATTTTCCCACCGCCAATGGGTTTTACTGTATGGATGGAGAGACCAATATCATGTAAGATAATGACTTTGCGTTGAACTTTTCGATGCTCCGTTCGTTGTTTGAAAAGCGGACGGTTCATTTCCATTAATTACCGTTAGGAACTTTTAGTATTAAACGTTTAACCACACTTTGGCAGCTAACAAGAGAGTACAGTCTTTTAGTTCTTCTATACATAGAATATCCTCTTACTGCCAAAGCGATTCAATTCCATAGTCGAGTACGACTACTTTATCAGGTCAATCGATTTCTTGATATGCGGACCATGGATCATTATTCAAACCCCATCCAACATAATAAATAAGGCTTTACATGACAACTTTTTAGAACTCCATGGCAAAGTTGATTCAAAAAGTATCGATCCCACGTACCAATTTAGAGTACAGTAGAGTTTAAGTCTATTTTCCAAAACACTTCTGCTATTAGATATATCTGAGGAGAAGTAAACTTCAGGCATTAATTTCAATTAAGCGGATTGATATAGGGCATATATCGTCGGCCTTGTTAAACTATAGTGTTTCAACTTTTGTCGTATTTCAACTTGTGAAGAGAACTGAAAGCTGTCGATACTATCGCAATCTTTCCTTGCATCCTTTAGAATGTTAGCATCTCATAAATAAAGCTTAATGAATTCTGAATTTATTTCTCATCTGATGCAAAACATATTTTTTGAACTCCCCAAAGTCTTAATTTGATATGAAAAATTTGCCACGACCATAACAACAGAATGCGACAGAATAAGTCCATATGTGTCGTATGTACTTAGTGAGACCAATTTAATTCAAGACGCAATCCGCAAAATTTACTTTCTATGCATTATATGCACAATCATTGTGTTGGCGTATTTCTCGGAATCAGCAAAAATTTACTTCCCCGATGCATTCAGCAAAAAATTTAAATTGCAAAAGATATGCATTGCATTATTATGTAAGGTGCAAAAAACCTCAACAATAGCTAAACTCGTCTTAAGGCGACTGTTAAACACCGTTCGTACCCACTTTTAATAAATAATAAAATGGAAAAGGAAGGAAAGGTTTTATGAAATATTAGGATTTTCTCTGGAAAAATCAAGTTCACAGTTTTTTCCAAAGTTTAGGTGAATAAGTCATTAAAGCAAGTTACAAGAACTTTTGTTTTTTTAGAGTTTGTAAAAGTATCAACCATTCAAGGGAAACAGACTCAGTTAAGATACGATTCCATGAACAGTACACGGGACTTTAGGAAGCAGATGATTTTTTGGTTTGGTTGCCATGTTTCTACATCGCTGTATGGGGTAAAACACTAGATCTCCCAGCTTGCTGCCAATGAGATTTGATACACTTCTATGCAAGGCAGAACGCAAGCTCTGCAATGCTTCCCAGCTTGCTGCAAGCAAGAGCAAAGCATTTTTAGGGGCAGTAGGCGTTACCTGCACGCAGCTCGCACCACATCACTTTTCATACGGTTGTTTATTCTGAGTGAAACAAAATAAAAACCACTTTTGCAGCACGACAAAGTGGTTGTGGAAGAATGTCGTAATAAGAAAATAGACAATTTGCATTTTACTTTGATTCTGCATTTTTGTACAGATCTAGCAGTGCTTACCGGCACATTTCTCCTCTTTTTTTCAATTTTCCTTAACAAAGAGCTTCTGTCAGTCTGTCTGTTCTAAGCATTTACAGGGTGAAAGGGCGTTTATCATCATGATCTTGTATTTGTAAAGTATACGGACGGTTCTAAATCAGCTTTTCAGCTTTTCATTTTAATTTCCGTCCAGAGGAGAATCCCTAACACTTTTTATATAGGTCAAGTTAAAATTGTCACAGTCTTATATAACGTCTTCAGCGTTATGTAGTAAACTCATTAGCTTTCTATTCCGACTTTGAAGCAGCCGTATTGGATTATAATGCAATTTACGTACATAGTGACGTCTCCATGTTATGTCGCAAAGGGACTTTAAAACTTATTACACTCGTTTTTTTGCAGTAACTCCCTAAACATACATTTATCACTTAAGCCCAGACGTTTACCTGATAAATATCCTTAGAATTGTCCTTAAACAACTTACTTACCCAGCATGACATGAGCAAATGTGTTTACTCGTTTGTGTTTATGATGCAATAACACAATGAATATCTACGTAAACATAGATTTTCAGTAAATCTGTTTGTATAAGCGAGCAATAAAATTTTGAATATTAATCCTTATGAAAATTGCAAACGTTACGCCCTTCTTCGCCAAATCCGTCATAAATAAAATATCACAAATATTTTTAGCAAACAATTTTATTATGACCTTTTAAAATATGACCTTATTTACAAAATTTTCACCCAACGCAATGCTTACTAAAATATCTTTTACGACGGTTCGTTCGATGATTATTCTCAGAAAGAAAATTGCAAAAATTTCAGAGACTCGGAGAAAAAAAGAAATTAAAAGATAACTTTGCATACACACACATTCACGCTTCCACTCGCTGTTCATATTTCCATTAATAATGCATTGTAAAAATATTGAAAATGTTAGTTTTTCTTTTTCTTTTTTTTTTTTTTCTTTCTTTCTTTTTCTTCCTTTTCTATGTACCGTGAAGAGACGCAAATTGACACAAAGAAAATATAGTCGCCCTAGAAAGGTCAATATATGTAAATAAGTCCTATTGTTTTATTGGAATCTACTGAATTTATACCAACGGCAAAAATTACGTTTAGGTACACACGCTTATGTGCTTTTAAAAGAAGCCAGTATAAGTACAATTTATTTACCGGCATTAGCCCACCGTGCGTAGCCATTTTTGTCTTTACTAAAAGATGAAAAATGTTCCTTTACAGCTTTTTTAATTTAATTTAGAAACTTTGCAAAATTCTTCCATCACAGAGTTATATATAAAGAGGAATTACGCCATAAATTCCGTTCATTATTATTCAAATAAAAATTGGATTTATATTTTATAATAATAAAAAAAAAGAGATTAAGCCATTAAAAACAGCCTTCGAGCCATCTTTTCACGAAATGGTTTCCTTTATTCGGCAAATTTAGGTTAATTAACATAGTTCAATAATCATTAAATTCCTCAAGTCAATAATTTATTATTTGGACATATAAGCCACAAATCTATTGGCTTAGTCCATCTCTGTTCAACATACCAAAAAAAATAAATAAATAAATAAATTCCTCAAGTTATGAAATTCTTCGATTGACATTTGATTTTCAGAAAGTGGTTATCTGAATAGTTGGCGAAGTACTTTGAGTGCAAAATGATGATGCGGACGTTACCCTTCCGATTCATTGAAAGCAAAGGGCGCTTGTCTAGCGAAAATGTCTAGTTGAAGACGCATAACTTATATGTATTATATGTTAAGAACAGAGACTATATATTTATATATATGTGTCTTCACGCAAGATCACGTTATTGATATCACAAATATTAGGTAATGAAATTATTGAATATTAGTTTTAATAATCAAAATTTTTTCAAAATTTGACTTAAAAAACAAAGATCATTCGTTTAATTCCAACAACAACAACAACTACTTCTATACTTTGTAATTTTACATATATATATCACAACATATATATAGATGCATATATCACAATATATGGATATTTATATATGTTACCATTCTTTTTATTCTTGCATTTGTGTGTAAACTTCTCAACCAACTCCTCCCTTTTATACATAACCAATTTATTGAAAACACTAAAGCACTCTCTTTCTTCGACTTACATTAAGGGAGAGAATGAGTAAAAGAGTAAATCATATCCTTTGTGTGCGTGCTAGAATGAGAACAATAAAACCAAAACCAAGTGAGACAAGTAGTGGTCCTACCTTTGCTTCAACTTATTTAACATAGACTGCAAAAAGAATTTCTCTCAGTTTAATGGAAACTTTTATTGTGATAGTAGCTTGAGATTTCAAAAAAAAAAAAGATTTAAAAAAATAATATTAATAAACGCACAATAATACTTGTACATACGTGTGTAACGTTATTTTCGTGAATATTAATAAAAAAGTAGCTTGAGTGTAAATTAAAAAAGAAAAAAATATTAAAAATATGCCACGTCCTCTGAAGGAAAGCTATGCAAATCAAAAGCCGCCGTTTTCATATATTTCATTAACAGCTATGGCTATTTGGAGTTCGCCACAGAAAATGTTGCCTTTAAGTGAAATTTATCGTTACATAATGGAAAAGTTTCCATATTTTCGCAAAAACACCAAAAAATGGCAAAATTCTTTGCGCCATAATCTTAGTTTTAATGATTGTTTTATTAAAGTGCCTCGTAATGCAGTTAGTAAAGGTGGAAAAGGCTCATATTGGACCTTACATCCGAAAGCATTCGATATGTTCGAAAATGGAAGTTTATTAAGGCGTCGAAAACGATTTCGTGTAAATAAAATGGAAACAGATTTTTTCGGTGCAGAAATGGCCGCCTTAGCTCACTTTCAAAATTACTTAGCAGCTCAAACTCATCACCAACAGCAACAGCAGCAGCATCTTCGTCACCATCACCAACAATGCCCAACAATACCTGAAGGCGTGAAAGTAATGTGGAATATGCCAGTAGCACCAGAAACAACATATCCATCAACTTATTCAATATCTAATGACTCTAATCTGTATAATCAACTGACGATAGCAAATGCGAACGTGGATAATCAAAACTTAAGCACCGACAACGATAGCCCTAATTCACCGCCAGTCCCCCGAAATATTGCGATTAATTTTGCTACTAGACCAAAGAGATCGTTTACTATAGAAAGTCTAATTAGTCCAGAACCAAATGCACACTTGAACTCTCATAACGCTCCAACACCAACAAATGCGGATAGCGCATTATTGCATTTACCCACAGCTAACATTAATGTAAATAATATCAGTTGTACTGTAAATAATTTCAGTAGTTTCCATCGTTTTATCGCTGATCCCTATATACTGCAACAACATATAACATTTCTGCGGCATCAGCAAGCAGTAGCAGCCGCAACCGCAGCTCAGCATACCACTAACGTTAGTTTAATTACCCAACAACAACAAAAACCGCAACTGTCATATAATCAACAACAGCAACAGCAACTGATGCAACCACGAATTAGTGAACAGAATCTAATCAATCCTTTTCTGGGGCCTTTGTCAGTATTTTAAAGCGATTACTTTACTCTAAGAAACTGATGGCGCACGAGATAATGTGATATATATATATATATTTTTTTTTTCTTCTCCCTATATAAATTTTAACACTTGTTAGTTAATATTAATTTCAACTTAGTAAAGCTGACAACTATAAGACTGTTTACGTATTTTTTATCAAAATAATTTTGTAGTTAATTCAAAGCTTAGATGTTTAACAAATACTCGCTATTATCCGAGTACATACCTATGCCAAATATAATATACGTATATATACATGACGAGGGTAAATGAAATAAAGACATTCTATAAAAGAAATGTTATTTATATGCTTTTTGAATATCTAGCACAAAATAAAGATATTTCGCATCCACTGCTCGTTTGAGCAATGGAAAGTTTAATGATCTATTTTTCGGGAAAAAATAACAAAGCGACTGTATCCCATATTAGTGAAGAAAAAATGCTCTAATTATTGGCTTATTATTCGCATCATGTCTCAGCTTAACAGAAAAGTCCAATGACTGGAACGTTACTCTATTGTTGAAAAACTTCGCGTTGAAAGCATCAAGCTGCATTTCATCCTCCAAGATAGCAAGCACATCTTAATAAGGGAAAAAGGTTTTCCAATTAAACAGTTGAATGGCGCGATTGGTTGGTTGAGGACATTAGTTTGAAGCAAATTTCCCTTATGCAAGTGAAAAGATTCTCAGTTTTGGTTTAGATTTCTAAATTCTTTGCTTAATTAATGTTTAAGCGAAAAATGAAAGCGTTTCGCAATGTCAACGATTTCTAAATTAGTTATTATTGGTAATTGCTTTACACATCTGAGACCTATCCGACAAAGTGAACAATGAAGTATACTTTTTACTCTTCATAGAAATAATTTGAGCTTGTGTTTAAAGAAGACGTTTTCCGAGGCTATAGGTATATTCGAATTTGTTTGTCCGCTCCTTCTCTTTCCCGGAGATAGATATAAAAAATTTGCAAAATTCTAGTTGATCTTAAATGGTGACTCGAGGGGCACCAGCTTTACAAAAGAGAAGTCCATTGATTTTTAGTATTAAACTTCTGGCATTATTAGTGTTTATTGATTGAACAGACGAATAAAAAATAAAACTTGCTTCGATTTAATTTGCTTACTCGGTGATCAGTCAGATCAGAATATATGATGAAATATCTACATTGAGCTTTACGAGCTTTATATTATTGAAATTTAAAAATGAAAAACATTGATAGAATATTTCAAATCAATCCCTCTATTTAAGGATAAAATAATTTAAATAATTTTAAGATAATTTTTTTATTTATTATTATTTTAACAATTTTAACAATTGCATGCTTTATATTCCTACCGTATTTATTATACCATTTTAGATTAATTAATTAAACTTTGGTTGCCCTGCTAGTGTTGCCATATTTATGACTCAGACGGCATTGCTTGTTTGCGGCAACATCGTTTTTGTCTGGTTTGTCGCAATTCGCCATTAAAGAAACCTTCGTTTTATTTTTTTATTCTATTGGAAAGGTGTGTGTGAATAATAATTCTGTTTAAATAAAATTCTTTCCACCTAAAACATCTGTAATTGACTGCATTTATAAAAAAAAAAGTTCTAAATTAAGGAAACGTCTAGCATTTCTGGCCGTAAGAAAAATTATTTAAACGTTTTTAAAACAAATTGTAGTGCTTTGTTAAATGTGTGCCCATAAAGACCCCTTCCAAAAATGTGTACCAGAATTTCATATTTGCTAATTGGGTGCCCCAACGAAATCTAAATAAAAGAAAAAAAAAATCTCTTTTCTTAATTGCATTGAAACGAGGATGGTATGGTGGTAATATTTTGAAAAGAAAATTAGAAAGAAGAAAGTCACATTTGGCTTCTTTCTGAAAAAAAATTTATGCTGTTGATAAACAAGTGCAAACGAAAAGGAATAATAGAGAAAAAAATAAGTGGCAAAAAGAGTCAAACGTAACTGAGAGACCTGAAAAATTAAAAATTTTGCGTTATGTTTAGTATAAGTGAACTTTGTTGTATGTTTTGTTGCCCCCCTTGCCCTGGTCCGATTGCTGCAAAATTGGCATTCCAACCGCCTGAGCCCACATACAAATTAACGCCAGCTGATGATGCAAACGTTAAATACAATTTACATTTATTCGATCGCGCCGAGTGGCAATTTTCAGAACGTGATAAATCAAAAGTGGAAGCATTCTTCACACGCACTTCTCGAGGTAATCTGATTACATGCATTTATGTACGTTGCAGTAAAAATGCCAAGTACACATTGCTCTTCTCGCACGGCAATGCTGTTGATCTCGGACAAATGAGCAGTTTTTATATTTCCCTTGGTTCCCAATTAAATTGCAATATATTCGGTTACGATTATTCCGGTTACGGTATGAGTGGCGGCAAGCCATCAGAAAAGAATCTCTATGCTGATATTGAAGCCGCTTGGCAAGCTTTACGTACCAGGTGATTAATTTGCTTGCCTTAAACGATCAATTTACAAGTAATATAAATATATTTTAGATTCAATATTAGCCCTGAGTCGATAATATTATATGGACAAAGTATTGGCACGGTGCCCACTGTAGATTTGGCCACCCGATATGAAGTTGCCGCTGTTATACTTCATTCGCCTCTTATGTCTGGTTTAAGGGTTGTATTTCGTAACACGAAGAGAACTTGGTTCTTTGATGCCTTCCCTAGGTAAGAAATGTTTCCATTACCCAACACAAGCAAGTAATTTTTAACAATCTCTTCTCTAGTATTGATAAAGTATCGAAAATCAAGTCTCCTGTTTTGGTTATTCACGGCACTGACGACGAAGTAATTGACTTCTCTCATGGAATCGGTATTTATGAAAGATGCCCTCGAGCTGTAGAACCATTATGGGTGGAGGTAAAGAGTAAAGAAAAAAGAACCAATTACTACAGTTGAGAAAGCGCGCAGAAAGCATTTCAAATTGTTCCAAATTTTAATACCATTTTCGATTTTAATCGTTTCTTACCTATCGATGGTAACTAAATGACAAATATTTAATAGAAAATTTTCATGTTTCCAGGGTGCCGGTCATAACGATGTTGAATTGCATTCACAGTATTTCGAGCGACTGAAAAAATTTCTCACAATTGAACTTTCTAAATGACAATTAAAGAACGGTGCAGAAGGGGCTGCCAATAATAAGATAAACGCCCCACCTGCAGCTGTCGCTGAAACGAACGTTTCTAAAGTTGAAAAACAAACTGCTGCAGTTTCTGCTAAAACCAACTCAACGATTCATGCTCGTGCTACCGCTAATACTGCTGCCACTATGTTGACTATAGTGGACACTACTGCGAACGCTGGACCAACAACAACAACTGTCTCTTCAGTAACAAGATCTGAGAAAGCCAATAACGACGGTATGTGATTATAATATTCCATAAATCGCAGATATGTTGAGTCTAAATATTCATACATACAGGATAGGATTGGATCTTTCCCTTTCTTGTATATATTTCCCTTTCTTGTATGTATATATATATATATATATATATATATATATATAAATCCACGTACCCATGAAAAAAAATTTTTTTTCAACGTGAAAAGTCAATGTCATGTAAACTTGAGATTTGTCTTTGTACTTTTCTCATGTAAAGTCCAAAATTCACTTCAAATATGATTTATATTGTTAGTACTATTGCATGAATGCTAGTAAGAAATATCTGAAGATATTATTTAAAATTTCATATAGCAGACGCTAGTAGTAGTAGATGCGGCTCTTCGTCAGCTAAAATACGTTCACCAAAAATATTTGCAAGTTAACCTGTAAAAAAGATTTCGACACGAGGAGAACTTTACCTTAATATAGGAAATGTGGCGCCTTCACCCGTGCAGTTTTATTTAACCCTACTTAACTACCATTGTCCTTGATGTCTTTTGTCATTTGAATACAGGTTAATGTTGCTTACAAACAATTCCATCCAAATTGATTTCTAGTGTAGGTAATAATATGTCAATCATCATTTAGGGCTTGTGAAAATGACAAAATTTTCATCAAGATTCATTTGTATAATAGATGCTGTGGTAACGACCAGTTCAGTATCAGCAAAACCACCAACTGAGAAATTTCTCTAGCAGAAAGAGCACGGCTCGACTGCCGGCTCGGATCATACGGTACTGACGTGCAACTCCACGAATATCAACGGCAACAACAACAACAATAATAATAAATTAAAAAAGCAACTGGAATGTAAATCGACACAACAACCAAGTCAATATTTGAATGTGGATTCTAATTTAACGTTGGTGGTTAGTAAAAAGCAAAATTCCTCATCCCTTAACAAGAAACAATCAAGCAATCTTGACGTCATCAATCTTGAAGATCATCATCAGTACGCTGTAGCACCAACGTTGCCAGCTCACTCACCGCATTCACCAGTACACATTAATCTTGATGCACTAGAGCCACAAAACCAATCACTACCGAATCAACAACAAAATCAACAACAACAGAAGCAGCAACAACAACAACAGCAACCGTCAAATAAGCTGTCCGCTCGCTATATTAATAATAATAAAACCTCGTTAGAGTACTCGTCGAGAAAGAGTGCCAATAAAAAAATCAAGACGGGAGAAGATTCAATTCACAAACAGCATGAAGAGCATAAAACAATAGCATCACATGATATTGAAAAAACGTCCGGCCCTAGAGGGGCAACATCGTCACCATCATCGTCATCGAAATTAATTTGTAGTTGTGAGAAACTTTTCAACATTGAGCCAAAATTAACAACTGTCGTAGTTAAAGACCGGATGTCGGGAATGCGCGACTCGAAACAACGTGCCCAACCAAACACAAACGCTACAACAAAACGCTTAATATTAACGCGTAATGCGGCCACAAGTCCAAATTTGGATTTAAGAAAATTGAACATTTTGACCTTAACCGCCTCGACAAATGGTCAAAAAAACAAATCGAAGGAGAAAGGACAGGAACAAAACCCACGTTCTGAGAAGAGTGAGTGCTTAAAGAATTCACTTGAAAAGTCTAACTCATTGGGAGAAAGCAAGAAACCTAAGCAGTTACGTACCACTAGGTCGTTATCGCCGAGACCACCAATGCGCCATCAACATGCCATTATTGTATCAGAAGTTAACGACACTGAAGAACATGAACTGAAAACATCCATTACCACCACAATCACCACCGGCCGCACAGAAATCGATAATGAGTTCAACGTAAACTCGCCGCATATATATCGTGAACAAATGATATTGCGCCACCGAAAGGTGCAGAATGCTTGTAGATCTGAACAATCGTCGCCGAACGTCATTGAAGGATCTAACCTTAAATTTGCCTACCGAGAACAAACCAACCGTAGTACTGGTTGTCTTGTGTATATACCCTCAGATCCTTGGTTGAAAATGAATGATAACATCAAAAGACCTCTTATTTTATCTAAGACGATTAATCAAACTCTTCCTGAAAACACTTTAGATCCTTGGGTAAAACGTAATGATACACCGTTAGGGCGCACACCAAAACAGGAACTATTTCGTCAAGCAAAATCCTTCTCTGCTACTCGATTCGAAGTTGAGCCGACAGGAACGGGTAGCAAGGTTCAGTCAACTACAAATCAACATAGATCTCTTATGCGTTCATCAAAAGAAAAGTATACATCAATAAGCGATATATATAAACCTTTACAATCAGCACCTTCTTCTCCTCACTTTCTTTGCGCCCCCGACAATCCATTCTCCTCAGTTTACTCACTCAATACACCATACGGCAATGAAAAACAGCAAATAGAACAATTACAACAGGAAACGGACAATACACCAATACGTTCTTCAAGTTTTTCACCAGGTCGTGTTAAAGATTGTCTTAATCCATTTCTAGATGTAGCAAATGTACCGAATTCACCGCCGCCTCTTATATCTGTGGCTGCCGAATATTCCAATGCAAAAAATCAAAAATTGCAAAATGAAATCTGTACTCAAAGCAATCATAGTTTTTTAAATATATGTAATCCAAACTTACTACAGGCCCGTCACAGTTTCTCCTCAAGTCCCGAAAAGAAAGTCGAAGAAGAATTGCAACTCAATATACGACGTCTATCCGATCAAATGCGTCGTAAAGCTGGATTACCTTGTAGCAATTTAAAAACTATTAATAAACCTTTCTCAAGTGATCGTAACGTAAATAGTAGTCAAGACGGTGGTGAGAACGTTTACAGAGAACGCGAGAATGGATCTCCAATTCCCATAACGAATAAGCCGATATACAGGGCAGATTTTTCCGATTATTTGGAGCAATTCCGTTGCAGTGAAGCGAAAAAAGCTGCTTCCGCTGCTGCACTTAAAGAAAATAAAATCATGTGGTCGAAAACGGACGCAATGACTCCAATAATGCCACCACCAGAAGTCTCCGAATCAAAGGACTCTCTATTGGAAACAACTTGTTAAAGAAAACAAATATTAGATAGACAGATAGAGAGAGGGAGAGAGAGAGAAAATCTTCGTAAACGAATAGCATTTTATGAAGAACTTTCCACGTATATCAATCAGCAAGCGCTGCGTTTAGAAACAAGAAATACTTAGCTCAACAACCATCCATTGCTAACAAATTACTTTACTGAGAATGCTCTATATAAGTATGTGTGTGTATGTTTGTGTGTTTAAGTAATTTTTTTTAACTAAATATTGCATTTAAAAAAATATATAAAATAAAAAGAAAAAAATATATTATAGATAACAGTTAAAGGAAAATCCAAAACAATTTTGTTATGTCAATCAAAGGACGAAAGGCAAAATAAAATCCATTTCAAAATTTCTTGTATACATATAGTTGCACACAGATAAGTTTATTTTTAAACAATTCTCTTATATATGTTTATATATATAAAATAGATGCATACAGTTTTAGAAGTAAACTAAAACAAGAAGAAAAGAAAGAAATTCACATACATAAATAATTATAATCAATATTATTATTATTATATCCTTAATTCGTACATACGTACTATAATTATAAAGTGTCGTAAAGAGGAGAAAATTGCAAAATTATAATTAATTATGTTGTAATAAATACAAGTTTATAATTTACATGTATCCATATATAAAGAGAAAAGATATATATATCTGTATATATATATATATATATATATATATGTGCATATACGCATATATGTCTATAGAATTGAATAGATATATATATATATATAGATATATATATATATATATGCATGTACGCATTGAAACAATATCAAAATTCGAGAAAAATTAAAATTTTACTCGTAAAAGTTGTATTTAAAACAAAATTAATAATAATAACTCGTAATTGTAGTTTATTCTTAACTTATTTTAATTTTTGAAAAAAAAATGAAAAAAAATGAGTTTTTCATCAAATTAAGAAAAAACGAAAGCAAATATTTTTTATCTCAAATTGCATCCACATTTTTTGTATGTTGTAAGTTTCACACTATAAGTGCTTCTATTCTACATTCAATCAACATTGTTAGTGGAAACGATGAAGAGAATAGTCTTACCTTAAAATTCCATTTAAAAAAACAAAAACATAAAAAGCAGAAAGAAAGAATATAAATATAAATTAAAAAAAAAAAAAAATTAAAAATTCTCTTTTAATTTTTAAACTCATCAGCAATAAATATAACTCTTTCTCATGATTTCGATTCAGATATTTACTAAAATTTTCCAAAAAGGAGATTTATCGTTTATACCCGTCATCGTCTGGCAACTTTGTCGCGCGGTATAGTCGTATATTTTTTGTGTCGGCAATTAAAATTTTAATTTTTTGTTGAATTTCGTGGCTATTCTGCCTTATAGTGTGTTGATTTTATAATATACTTTGAGAAGAAAGTGAGTGAATTCAAAGTAAAAGAAATATTTTTCTTTTACGCTTTCATTTGATTTTTGCAAACAAAAATTTTGAGTTCTGATAAAAATTTTTTTTTTTTTGTTTTCTCTCTTTTTCTCTGTTATTTTTTTACTGTTTGGAGTTTGTGTTGCTAGTGATCTCTCGTTACAGTGTCAACCTAACAGAGAAGTTTTGCACAAATTGGTTGATAAATTTTTATGTTCAGGATTTTTTTAGTGATTTGTGTGTCTGTTCTTCATAATCAACAACTGTCTTTTTGACAGGACATGGAGTGTTTATATACACCTTGTTGGGCGAAATCAGGCCCGGATTCTGATAGATTCGTTTCTTGTTAGCTCGGCGAGCGCTTTGGTCATGCGAAGTGTGCCGGTATTCTCGGCCGTGCTGCTGACGCAGTCGATGATCCGTCTAAAGGCTTAAGATGGTCATGTCCTGACTGTAGGCAGCGGAACATTGACTTTTATAAACTTTTCACGGAGACCCGTTATGGTTTCTCGGAATTGAGTAGAAATCTCGGCTCCTTGTGGGAAAAGTTTGAGCTCATTAAGTCTAGGTTTGATGAGTGTCGCTTTATTGGACACTCATCTTCTACTCGTAGCGTAGCGTGTGGGACGTCACCTCTGGCTTTCTCCAAATCTAATTCGTTGGTACAAGTTACCGCTCCCTCTAACTCTAAAATGAATAGTAATGTTTCCGATATTGCTGAGTCGGTTGGTAGCAAAACAGTTACAAACAAACCGGCAAGTCCATCCGTTTTAAGCTACGCTGAAGTGGCAAGGGTATCTCCGCCCAGAGCCGCCACTCACTCTAATCAAGTGCCATCGCCTAAAAGTAATGAAGAGAAAAATATGTCATCCTCTCCTCCTGGCTGTTCGCGTGTGAATGCTGGTCACCAGACTGGGCAAGTCTCACAAGCTGCCGGTACAAGGGCGATAATCCCATCTATATTTTCCCCAACTCGAAACTCTCCTACTGTGAACCCCCCTCCTGTTCCAAATAATGACATTTGCTTGACGGCAGTTCCTCCCAGAAAAGCAATATTTGTGTCAAGACTGGCACCTGAAACATCGGTGGATAACATAAAAGGTTATCTGGCGACGAAAGTCGCATCAGACAACTTAAAGCGTGTTAGCATCTTCAAAATGGCTCCTTCTCAAGCTAGGGCAATCTCCTCTTTTAAAATATTAGTTCCGACTGAAAACAGTGATATGTTGTTAAACAAATCACTGTGGCCAGTAGGATCCTTAATTAAGGAATTTATCCCTCGAGATTGTCCCCGTAATACCAAGGCAATAGTCTTGTCGCCTTCAAAAAACTAATTGTTTCTTCAGGCCCACTATCTCTCATTTATCAAAATGTTAGGGGCCTAAATTCGAAAATTCGTTCCACTTTTCTAAATTCAGTGAGCACGGAATATTTCTGTTTGGCCATTACTGAAACTTGGCTAAAACCCGATCTACATTCGTCGGAACTTTTTCATAATTCTTTCCAAGTGTTTAGAAATGATCGAGTAAATCGCATTGGTGGTGGTGTATTAATTGCCATATCTGCGTCAGTCCCGTCCAATTTAATTGAATTTCCCACTTCTCCTGACGTTGAATTTATCGCTATTCGTGCGAATATGCCTGATAAACATCTATTTATAACCTGCTCCTATATTCCCCCAAATTCTGATATCTCCATTTACAGGAAACACGCTGCCCTCATTTGTGAAGTGGCCAAGCGGTCTAGACCCACCGATTTGGTCGTTGCGTTGGGTGAGTTCAATTTGCCTCAAGTCACTTGGTGTAACACTGATAATTCTGGCTGTTTGGTTCCTACTTCAACGTCTGATAAGGCTGTTGTGTTCTTTAGTGAATTGTTTGATCATAATTTGGGTCAATATAATCGTACCCCTAATTGTAATGGTAGACTGCTTGATCTCTGCTTTGCCAATTTTACCGAGATTTACGTAAATCGTTGTCCACCTTTTAGTTTACCTGAGGATCCTTATCATCCATCAATATGCATTTCCTTTCATCATATTAATGATGGTTTGTTGAAATGCCTTAATGTGCCAACTCAAACTTTTTTAAATAATTATTATGATTTTCATAAAATCAATATTGTATTACTAAAACATCGTCTTTCACCTCTGACGCTTGATTTCTCAACCGGTAGTATTGAAAGCTTATTGCCATCGTTCTACAATACATTAAATCTAGCTATTGCTGCATCTGTTCCGATCAAGCATTGTCGACCTCGAAGCAGATGTCCCCCGTGGTTTAATAAGACAATTAAATATCACAAGAATAGAAAAAACTCGCTATTCAAAAAATATTCGAAAAGTGGCTCTGCGCTCGACTATGTCGCTTACTCGGTGGCGAGGCATAGATTTAACTCCCTGAACCATCATTATTACTGCAGATACCTTCAGTTCATTAAATCCTCTCTGTTTGCTAATCCTAAATTCTTCTTTAAATTTGTTAACTCTAAAAGAAAAATTTCCACATATCCCTCTCATGTTTCTTTTAATGGCTCTGGTTCCTCGGATGATTTTGAAATCTCAAATCTATTTGCTGAGTATTTCCGACGAAACTTTTCGATTGCTAATTTCGATTTATCAGCAAACTACCCTTATCCTATAACTAACTCGGTTTCAATACCTAACTTGGTTATTTCGGAAGATGACGTTTTTAAAGGTTGAGTTCTCTAAAATACGGTTGTTCGCCTGGACCTGATGGAATTCCATCATGTGTATTTAAATCTTGCACTGTCGAGTTGTGTGGTGTGATCTCAAAGATTTTTAACATGTCCTTGTATTCAGGTGTTTTCCCTTCATGTTGGAAGAGTAGTTTCCTTATTCCTATCCACAAGAGTGGAAGTAGACATTTTGTTGAGAACTACAGAGGCATAGCCAAGTTGAGTGTCTTGCCCAAGTTGTTCGAGCGTATTGTGACTCAGCATTTGGCCTTTGCCATTAATTCGTATATTTCTCCGCACCAGCACGGCTTTCGGAAAGGGCGATCTACAGTCACCAACTTGTTAGAGTTTACCTGTCATGTTTTCAAGACTTTTTCTAGTGGCTCTCGCACAGATGTTATTTACAATGAATTAAGCAAAGCATTTGATATGGTTAACCATAGACTACTTATCTTTAAACTCTAAGCCTCTGGTTTCCCATCCTACTTAGTGAAATGGATAAGCTCTTATCTGCACAATAGATCCTTCAGAGTTTTGTTTAACTCCATTAGCTCGGATGAATTCCCCGTTATGTCTGGCGTACCTCAAGGAAGTCACTTAGGTCCCATTTTATTTAGTTTATACATTAACGATCTCCCATCGGTGGTTAATTCCAGCCAGATCTTAATGTATGCTGATGATGTGAAACTGTTTTCTTCTTTCTCTGTTGAATCGCAATCACATCAGCTTCAAGGTGATTTGGATAATTTTGTTACATGGTGCTCTTTGAATCTGCTGAAACTAAATCTGAGTAAATGTAAGAAGCTTTCATTCTCAAGAAGAAAGTCATTCATTACTCAGTATTTCATAGATTCGCATAAGTTGGAGGATGTCGATTCGATCACAGATTTAGGCGTTCTATTTGATCATAGGTTACGTTTTAACTTGCATATTGAGCTCTCAATTAGCAAAGCTAGGTCCGCGCTTGGTTTTATAAAAAGTGGTTCAAAGAGCTTGATGATCCCTACATTACGAAAAGGCTGTACATGTGTTTGGTTAGACCCATACTCGAGTATGCCTCAGTTGTGTGGTCTCCTTCATATAGGTGCTACGTAGATTCAATTGAATCAGTTCAAAAGCAATTCTTGCTGTTTGCCCTTAGAAATTTGGGTTGGGATCCGATTGCCTCTCTTTCTCCGTATGAAAATAGGTTGCTTCTGCTGTCCCTACCGTCTCTGGAGAAACGTAGATTTGTTCTTGGCGTTTCCTTTCTAATTAAAGTAATAAATGGTGCTATTGACTCGCCTTCATTACTTGGTGAAATAAGCTTTAATGTCCCTAACCGCTTCTCTACGCATTTTATCTTGGTTAAGCTTAATCAGTGTAAATTTAATTATGAGCTGTTCAATCCGCTCAGAGTCGTTTGCAAGAACCTAAATGACGTCTACCACTTATTCTCGTTATCGGACTCTTTAAAGTCCATTAAAGCAACATTGCTTAATACGTGCGATTTACCTATGTCGTATTTAAACTAGCTTCTATCCTTAAAAAGTCGTTACGTTTCGAAAGTGAATTATTGTCAATTTATTATCGGTTGCCAGGCTTATGCATGTTTGCGATGGCTTAGGGGTTCATTTGCAATTTGGTCCTGTACCGATTGTAAGTGTGCTCCTATGCTGATAGTGTACATGCTTTTTTTTTCTTCTTATTTGTTTTATTATGCTTATACTCAATTTTATTGTTAATTAATATTAGTTTTGCAATAAGAGCCTATTGAACTCGACTGTTATTTGTTTAGTTGAGTTTCTAGTATGAGTGGAATAAAATAAATAAATAAATAAATAAATAAATCAATATAAATGTATAAAAAAAGAGATTTATCTGAACTTGAACGTCTCCTGACTAGTTTTAGTAAATTTTTAAAGACCTGGCTTTCGATTTTCGCATATTTTTCTCTGTGCGATTTGATCCGAAAAATTATTTATACAATATTGATACATCGTTATCCTAACAAAGACAAAAACAGCAAAAAAACTACATTTTCATGCTTCATATTATGGAATGGACGCGGCTGATTTTTCCCATTTTTAAAAACAAGCTTTTTTTGCCGTATAGACGTTCGGGCTTTGTGGGCATGTCTTGAGAAAAATTCGCCAAATTCTTTTGCAGATTTGCAGGCGATATCTTCATTTTCGCTAACGGGAGAATCGCGGATACGGTACAGTTGCGCACAAACAGACAGATGGATATGGTGTATTCCAAATTTAAAAATGGCCATGGATGTATATACATTGTGGAGTTGTTGAAGCTTGTTTCTGCCCCTTTCAAAGGTGTCGAAAGAGAAATTGAATATTCATACACTATAACGTTAGATAGGCATTGTCAATTTTTTCCATTTTGGAAAGGCGCTGCAGATTGCGCCCATAGAATATGCGTGCAAACTTTTGTCCATTTATCTGCTATAGTTTATGAGCAATAAACATAAAACCAATTTTTCATTCCTTTTCAAAGACGAGGGGCTCTCAGTTTACGTGGTGGCTTCATTTTTGCGTGCAGACGGTTAGGCTTAAATCGATTTTGAATTTGATGTTGATCTCGAAAATATCTACTTTGTGTGGTCTCTGACGCTTCTTCCTGGACGTTGCAAACGTTTTGACAAAATAAATACCCCTCGGTGATGGAAAGAACTAATTAATTGAAATTCGTTCCGTTGATTTCGATACAAAGAAAGCATATTAAAATGATGGATGAGCCGATAGCCTGTGTTGCTAGTGCTCAATGTCTTTTTTTTAGTCTAAGAATTCATTTCATTAGTCTAAAATTAAAATAATAATAATAATAATAAAATGATGGATAACCCACAAAATATGTAATGTAATATGTAATCTTCTGTAGAAAAGATTTGGCACAATATAAAATATCAAGAAGAAGACCGGCCAATAAAAAATATCAAGAGGAAGAACGACAAAATAAAAAATATCAAGAAGAAGACCGGCCAATAATGTTGTTGTCAAAGATGTAATGTACGCTTCGTGGTTAGTACAGTAAGTAAGAAATTGTTAGCTTTAGCCTCATGTTTTATAGTTTCCTTTTAGTGCCTAAAAGTATGCCCAAAATAATTAAATAAATAATCAAATAGTACAAGAACATTCTTTGAGTTGAATCCCTTTGGTCTGTTATTTCACAGAGTTGAATCCCACTGGTCTGTTAAGTTGGGCATTAACCATTTATATATATTATAAGCGACTTTGTGCTTTGCCTTTCAACAGGGAATTTAGCGAGGACTTTGTTTAAAAATTATGACGATTTAATTCTAAGCTAACTTGTAAAATAAAAGAAATTAAGAAATTTTATATGAAAACATACATTTATTAACGAAAAATATTGTAAAATTAAAGAAATTCAGAAATTTTATATGAAAACATACATTTATAAAAAAGAATAAAGAAACATTAGTTACTAATACTGCTATTAACAGAATTAACAGAATTGAATCTTTGTTTTGCCGACGGCTTTGCATTGTAACAGAGTTGAATCCCTTTGGTCTCTTAAATTCTTCAAAATTGTTTCTTTCCAATCCATTCCACCCGTTTAAACGATTGCTGGGAGTCTTTCATTGTGTGAACGCCAGAGTAGAAGAAGCATTTGTGTCTTTCCGAGTTTTTTACTTTTTCCAATGGTTTTAAAATTTGCTGCTAATTTAAATTTTCTCTTTACCGAATGTTCTTCAATTGCTGAAAGGATATATATGGCAAGGAGTGCTGGATTTCGTGCCGTTGAAATACCTTTTCCTCGCTGCGAAGAAAGTCAAGTGCTGGAAGCCAAAAAGCAAACGGGAGTGGAAATAGCTCTTATAAATATTGCGTTTGGTAAGACATAAAAATAAAACGAAACGAAAGTCGCTTAATTGGTAAACCATATCATGGTTATCCGGATATCTATGTGATGAACTTAGCACTAGAATTCTCGTTAGATTTTTATAAGTTCTAAATTTTCTGTTAAAGATTATATATGAAAAGATGTATAAGTAATTAACTTTTCTTTACCAGGTTTAGTTTTTGAGAAACGTGATGATATATGTAACAAATTCTAGCAAATTGACTCATTGACTCATTTTGGTAATAGCATTCCAATTAGTTGCAGAGTTTTGTATAGACTTGGTAATTTTTGAAAAAGTAACTTTCAACTATACACACTGTATATTCGAGAAGAAAACCTGTTGCGATCTGAGGCCGAGGTCGAAAAGTCTTGTTCTTATTTCTATATAGATGTTGATAAGACAAGTATAACAGTGTAAAACTACATATATTAAGTAAAATACTCACGTTAGATCCGATACTAAGAATCTCAGAAAAGCTTTCCGAAATAAACGATATTTAATATAAAATAAAGTCCAAAGGGTCTTCGTGGTACATATTTCAACCATAGATTAATAAATGTTATTCTTTTTAGATTCTGATAGGCACAAATTCGGTGATGCGAGTATTCCAGGAGAACAAGAGCTTTTCAAAAAGCACTTACGCGACACTATAAATATAGCAAAACAACTGCATTGTCCCAAGTACTTCACTTTACTCAATTGTTTATGCAAACATTTTTCTTAAATTTTGCACAATTTTCATATAGAATTCATATAATGTCGGGCTTAATGGAAGATCAGTCGTTCGAGAAGCATTTTTCAACATATCAAGATAATCTAAAGTATGCGGTGAAAGAATTAGAGCGAAATGAGCTTGTGGGTCTGATCGAACCGATTAATAATTATTCGGTGCCTTCGTACTTCATGAACAATTATGATACAGGTAAGCACAGAAAAAGTTTTTCGAAAGAACCATTTCCTACTTACCCCAAGTGAAGTGTGTGCGAGATGAATGTAATGATAGCGTTAAAGAACACAAGCGTAGATAAACACATCTTACATACTTACGTGGTGGTTATAAAGCTAATAACAAACTTAAAATTCTATGCAACTAAATTTTCCACAATTTTTAATAGCCCGCGAGATTTTGAACAACTTAAATAAAAAGCATTTAAGACTAATGTTGGATATATTTCATTTGCAACAAATTTGTGGTAATGTTACGCACATTCTGGCGGAGTTGAAAGACTTAATCGGGCACATTCAAATCGCTCAAGTGCCAAATCGCCATGAGCCGGATGTTATTGGTGAATTAAACTTTGAATATATTTTCGCATTATTCGAGAAGGCGAACTACAATGATTGGATCGGCTGTGAATATAAACCAAAAACCACTACAATTGAAGGCTTAAAATGGCTGCAAAAGTATGGTCATCAATTGTAAGCTGATTGCAACGAGTCTTGTAAACACTTTTGCGCCACAATACTAAGTTTAAATTGTAACAACACTATGAGATAAATCGCAATAGTTGAAATAGTCTGTAGGTAATGCATAAACAAAAAAAAAGTTTTTTGTTTTTTATGTAAATATCGCATGAGAGCATGTAAATAATGTAAATAAAAATTACCGCAGTTAATAGTTCACGATTTATTAACGCATAACCTCGCAAATTAACCACTGGAGGGTTTAGTTCTATAGCCGAGATGAAATGATCAATTTCCTTTTGAGTTTGTACGTCCAGTTGGAGTAAATTAAGCGAAAGCAGAGTCGATTGTACACCTTCAGCCATCACGGAAGTAGCACTTTGTGCACAGTCACAGATGATAAACAGCAATGAAGCACAGTAAATTGTTAATACTACTAAGCCCAAAACTTTATAAGAGAAACCGAATTCCAAAATTTCTGATAATGCGCCATAAGAACCGATGGTAATGTTTATCGACCTAAGGCATTTTGAAAAAAGAAACGTAATTCCATGCAAGCCGAATGCATCGGTAGCAAACCTACATGAAGAGACAATAAGTGCAATAAGTGCGAGCGTAGGCATTGCCTAGCGCCTGTAAAATTTCACTTAAATTAAGCCACAAAAGCCGGTATTGTTTTATCATAATATAGTTGCATTCGACTCGCATATCCTTTCTAAAACAATCCGATAAACTTTTCGAAGCAATTTTCGTACCTTTCGAGTTAATGTAAAATAGGGCAGCGTTCATATTAATCATCGTTATAATGTGAAAGTAGGCAGTAGTATGCCAGAGTAAAAAATCTACGAAAAATAAAGAAAAAAAGACATTTTAACTTATTTACTTTACAATTGCACGAACTTTATATGCTTACCATCTAAAAGCTGACTGAGACTAAATAGAAAAAGAATTGAAAGCAAAACACAACCAATAAACAAAATAACAATTGCTATTTTAAGAGTAGGGAAAACTAGAGTTGTACCCGTCACACGGTAATAGCGTACCTTAAATGAAATCTTTTAAAACATATTGCTTAATATCTAAGTAATAACTAATCATTACTTGAAATGTACCCCACATGCTTTTGTACTTTGCTACTTGACTGGCTACACCCCAGCCCACATAAGGAATCCAAAAGTGAGGCAGTAGGAACAATATGAATATTATAGCGTAAATGTATTCGTCATACTCGTTGGTTATACGCAAAAGTTTGACGCGCTCAGAACCTACTTTTAAAACCACCAAAGTTGTTAGTATGTAAAAGATGAAAGCATAATACATCTGATACGATTTCCAACTAAAAGTTACTCGTCCCGCCTGCCGTGCCAAAGGCATCACTCCGAGTATTACAAATAGTTTTAGCAATAACTTATGATCTCGATAAAACTGTAACAGCGAGAAACGGCTTTAAATCTTTCATCTCTCTCTCTCTCTCTCTATGCAATTTTACTTGATCATATAATTCTGCGGTCTGGCCATGCCTTGATTTCAATTTGGCACGTTTTGCACGCATGGTCAAACGTTCCATTAGGTCAGGATTATGATTTGAATTTTTTATGAATTTTTTTCGTTTTTCACTTTTAAGCAATTTTTCCATATCATCTGTTAATATAGACAAATCCAGAGCAGAGTCGAATTCTTGTTCCGTTATAATATCCATAAGTATTTTTCATCAGTTTACTTTTCTTATTACTTAGAAAGTCACAACTCAACTAAGGCAAATTAAACAAAATTAGTTCCTTTTATAAATCCTAAGCCATAAGTCATTAGTTTCTAAAAAAGTCAAACATTTCTCTTGTCCTTGGCTATGTAAAGAGGTTTAAATAGTCAAGAGAGTTTGTCATAATTTATTATTTAAAATAAAGCAATTAATAGTTCACACCTGCATAGAAAAAAAAGAACAAACGTAAGCATTATCTAAACAAAACCATAACAAATATAAATTTTTCTTTATACATTTGTAGTTGATTTATCCAAAGAAAATTTAAATTGTATCAAGACTAATAAGTAAACCGTGATCATACCAATCGACTGAAAATTAAAAGCAAAAAAAAAAATTATTCCAAAATTCGTTTTTCATAAAAGACACATCACCAAAATTCACAACTTACTCCAGAGAGAAGTTCACGATTTACAGTAACGTAGCCTTTTAAACTAACTATAGCTGGATTCATTTCGATGGCCACTATGAACAAATCAATTTCGTTTTTAGCCTCCAAATCGGCTTTGAGCAAATTAATGGACAGTAATGTCTTTTGTATACCCTTCGCCACACCGAGTGTGGCATTATGAGAGCAATCGCAAAATATAAATAATAAAGTGCAGCAATATACGACATCAACTATCAGTCCAGCCTCTTTATACGAAATGGTATAGCCGTGTTTATGATCAACAATTTCGGCGAATGCTCCATATACAGCTATAACAATATTAACGAATCTATAAAATGAAAATTATTCTTTAAAAATAAGATTTAAAAATGCATTTTGTAGACTTCGTCCTCCCTCCTTCAATTGCTTATGCACTCTACTAGATGTCGTTGCATATGTTCAAAAAAATTCCTTTTAACGCTACTCCTTGTAGATTTTCAAAGCACATAATTCTTTTTCCCCTTTTAACCTGGAGCTTCACATGGATCTAATAAATAATTAAAGTCACACCATATATTTTGTGCAAGTTGGAGGTTATGGACTGAACACTATTCAACTATTTTAACTAGTGTGGGGATGCGTTAAGCCTATTTTAAGCTACAACGTTAAAGAACATCGAGACAGAAGATCCACTACGCCGTTGTCGACAAGAAAGAAATCTAAGACGGTGTACAACAGTTAAGAGAGTAACATTCTTCTTCCTAACAATGTGAGCAGCAAATTTGAGATATTTCTTATGGTTTTACTATGAATAAAAACTTTTGCAGTCACACAATGATTCAATTAACCCTTCGCACTCGGTATTTTTTTTTTAACCTAGCACTAACTCCCTAGTTAACAATTGCAAATAATGTAGTGTCATCTCTATGTTGCCATAAAAGCTGACGTAAGAAATACAATGTCGTCATAAAGTCGACATAGGAGTGCAAATGCTTAAAGTAATTATATTAACAATTATGTATGTTTTATAGAACACACATAACTCACATAAAAATACAAAAATAAAAATACAAAAATTTTTATTATATCGGAGTGAAATTTTTTCTGAGATCAGTTGTACAGCTTAAAACAGAAGAAATATTTGTCATCTTTACTACATTTTTCAATCATAAAATGTCGCTAACTCTCATTAGGAAGAGCTTTCAGGCCTATAAAAGTGAGAGAGATTTTTTATTCATCATTTCTCTTATTTATTTATTTATTTACTACTTATTAAAAGCAACTCTGTGCTCTCTTCATTCACCCCACATAGCAATTTTTTTATAAACTGTAGAAAGGAAAAAACTAGCTAACGGCTTTCTGTGAAACTTAAGCAATTGGTAAGTGCTAAAATAAGTGATACTAATTGAAAAATTGCCAAAAAAAGCAACATACTATTAATAAAAAAGTAAAATTATAAATATAAAAAAAAATTAAGTTGTATAAATATTCCTCAAGCAGTGTAAGAAAATATACAAAAAAAAACATTACAAATTTTTACTCACATAAAAATACAAAGTGTTGAATAAGTTCGAGCATAAGCGTTTCCGAGTGATTGTAACAATTCACTAAGATTCAACCACAAGAAACGGTATTTAGATATTATCGGAGCTGAACAATCTTTCATTACTTCCTAAGAAAAGTATGTGTAGAGATTTTTATTGAAAAAGTTTTCGTATTTTTAAGTTCACCGTCTGCAGAACGTGAAAAAGTTTTATCCGCCTTAAGACAACTCCTTTATACGCATTTCCTTCACACTTCTACTTCTTCAGTAAATAAAAATGATAAAGGAATGGGAAATACCAGTGTAAGTAACGATTAAATTCGATGATTTAGACAATTCCCTACTTAAAATGACAGTTTTCCATTTAATATTATTGAGTTCTTCGGCGTATGCAGACACTAATGGAGCGGTCAAAATTGTACCTTCGGCCTTCATTACCTTTGTCGGCTAATTTGGAGAAATTGGCTGCCGAAGCCCCCCAAACACGTTCAGAAGCTTATGGTCGTGCTGCTACATCATATCCCAATTGTCGTGTTTGTTTTCAACGGTTTAAAAGTGGTGACATGAATTGGCTGGAAATGCCATTTTTTTGCCGCTTGTTGAAGCACTCTTCCAACTCGAATGAAAGTTCGGCCGCAATCCGGCATAGCGCCAACATTCTCCACATTCTCTACTTTAAAAGTCAGAAGTCGCATTTCAATGGGACTTGTACAAAGTTACATACATTGATATTTAAAACTCGACACTAATCTTTTAGAAGAAGCTTCAAATGCTTTTAGACACCAAAGAAGTCATCGCTAATAAATTTCTAACATTATTTCTTAAGGCGAATCAAACATTTTTAATTAGGTTTATGAGAATAAGTGAAAACGCCTTCAGTCTATAGCCTTTACCTTGCGAAAACACAACGCCATCGAATAAGAGGCCGTTTTAATAGCTCTCGAATTTATATACCAAAGTGCACAATTCATGTTAATCATTGTAATGATATGATAGTAGGCCAATGTATGCCACAGAGGATATCCTAGAACAAGAAAACGAATACATCTGTCTGATTTCAGCGTAAAAATGATTTATTTATACTTGCGTACCTTCCAACAAAAATGATAAGCAAAGTAGAAATAGAATGGCGCAAAGTAGACAACCCACAGAAATGACAACTATCAAGGATTTTAAACGTGGAAATTGCAAAGATGTACCAGTAACCCGAAAATACCTAAGCTGTTGAAAAACTTCTCGTAAATCAATGTAACCAAAATGTCATATGTTCTTATTACCTGAAAAGCTCCCCAAGATGTTTTATATTTTGCAACTTCAGTAGCCACACCCCAACCAACAAAAGGTATCCAAAAATGTGGTACTAAGTATATAACAAATATTATCGCATAAATGTATTCATCGAATTGCGTGGTTGTCTGAAGAATATGAATACGTTCTTTGCCGACAATTATTACGACTACAGTCATAAGACACCAAAAAATAATAGCGTAAATGGTAGCAATCGATCTCCAAGAAAACGTAATGCGCCCTGGTTCGCTGCGTAAAATAGGCATGACTGCCAATACACGAAAGAGAATAAGCAATAGCTTGTGATCACGATAGAACTATGAGTGAATACGTAGATTAATACAAAAAAAAATTAATCTGCATCTAAAATAACTATTAAATTCACCTGATCATGTATTTCCACAGCGTCGCCGTCACTAGAATTCAGTCTTGAACGTTCAAATCTTTCGTATTCTTTCTCTTGTACAATTAAATCCATTGAATTGATTTTGTGCTTATTTATATTGTCGACTTTTAAGTTAACCTTTAAATCTGACCTTAAAAGGTCGAAATTAATATTTTCGGCTACGACTTTCTCTTCAAATACACTATACATTTTAAAAATATTGTCTAATGGCAAATAAATGTTTACAGAAGACCGCATGATTGTTTATATAGTAAATCTATAGTCAACATATGAAGAAGTTTTTACAAAAGTTTTCAAGGAAAATTAATAAATGAACAAGTTTAAACAACTTGTAAGAATTTCGTCCTCTCACGGCTTATGTTTACAAATAAGAGAATATAATATTAAAATATATTGAAGTTGATGTTGGTATCTACATGTAATTATTAGTCTTGGAAGAATGTTATAGTCTAAATTAGCATTTATGTATTGTCTTATATGTGTAGTAATATCTAGAGTCTAGTCTAGAATACACGCAGCTAGTCCGAACGAATTTACTTGGCATTGGCTTGATTATTTCAGAGATTCTCTTTATTTTATATAGGTTGTATTAATTCCTCACAATGTATGCAAACACTATACAGTCAAGAATATTGCCATCATTTCTTTTAAATTTGATTTTCAGCACCAACATCCATATTTAAGTGCGATGGTTAACAACTCCACTTGGAGCTACGACCACGTATGCATTGATTATTGTACTAGTTTTAGAAATGTGTATACTGTCTTACCTTTATGTCGAACGCGTTAACCAATCGTATCTACCTTCAACACAGGATAAGTCATAAATTCTTCAACTTGATATTGGATGACAATAATGTTTACCATAAAAATTTTATAACAAAAAGTTTAATAAACTAAAAATCGATTCAAATATAAACACAAAGTTCAACGAATTTTAACAATTCACACATCAATAATACGCGCACAAACCATAGATTATTAGAATTACTATAAGTTTATATCAATATCCAACCCGTTATATTTATCTATTTTTATTTTTTTTTTTATTTTTTAAATTTTATTACCTAGCACCGGTTAGATAATTTTTACTTATTTAACTCTTTTTCACAAGTTCGATAAGCCATTCCAGCACCAAATCCGGTAGCGACTAGTATTGGCCATGCTTTTCGTTTGAAAAATGTTAAAGATAATACAGTGCCAATCAGGAAACCTCCGGCTGAAATAGAAGTTAAAAGATTAATAAATAAATGTTTAATGTTGATGATTGATATTTATCGGTATAAAAATGTAAAATAATTTTGAAATGGAATCATGCACGCCACTAACGTTGCCCTGCCGCTCAGGCCACTACTACTTAGAGAAAGGTATGACATATGTACGTTGAAAGTTTGCGTTTGCAATCTCAACAAAAATCTCTCAACACGGTCCAATCAATAATCGTTTCGACGTCTTATTGAGTGTGTACGGTATGCGAAAAGTTTAACGAAATTGTCAACAGAATTTTATTCTATCCTTCAATTACTAAGACTGTCGGGATCGCACATTGTACGTGTTAAAGACCATTACTTAATGGCACAAAGCACCGTTTGAATAGGTACGTGTGTACAAGCATGTAAAACAAAATTATTTTGTATTGCATAATATTCTTTTTAATGCCTACTGCTTTTAATGATTCCATCGGTTACACAGCGATCTAGCTTCTTTCCATATTCATCTTCTGCATAATTGATTTTTGTAGAGGAAGCAGTCATACTGAATTTGTGAATTTTTTCCAATTATTTAAAACCAATTTTTCCGGACAAGTTTATTACAGAAATTTTTAAAAGTAATGACAATTACAATTTTTTTTATGAAATGAACGCTTTCACATTTTTAATGAAGGCGTTTTATCAAAAAAAAAACGCTTTAATTCTAATTGACGTGAAGTAATAAAAGATTGCATTCTTGAAAAAGTGAATAACTTTTAAAAAATATTCAAATATGATGAAATATTGTATACATCACTGAATGTTAACTTTTTCCGAAAATTTTCTATTGAATATTTATTTTTACAGATTAATTGACAACATTGAATTTTGTACGCACAATCAATAAAAGCAGGGATGCCACACACTATGCTCTTGCGATATGAATAATGTGAAGAAATGAATCGAAATGAAACAACGGACAAATATCGATACATATTTATGTAAATAAATGGTATTTTCCTGATTGTTATTCATATAACTGTAAGGTTACTTAATTTGAAGTAAGTACAATCGCAGAATTAAATTTTGTGGTTCTTTTATAGAAGATTTTTCTGTTATATATATAATTTTATAAGTATTGTGTTGACATATAGAGATAAAAAAACATACATAATATTGGTGAGGTCTCTTGCTTCTGACGATTTGATTTTAAGAAAAATATTCCTTCAGGATTTCGTCACAGCATTATATAATTTGCTTGAAGAATTTGTATTCTACCTATGCTAATTATGTTACGATTTATGAAAAGTTCTTACACACAAGGAACAGCATCAATCGTTTAATATTTACGTTTTATATTTTCTCTAATGTGTAGCGAACCTGATTTATCGGACGCGATTACTTCAATATAAGGAAAACGGGAAGTACTTAAGATTAAGTTTTGAGTTTTCTGCATATGTGTTTATAATAATATAATAAATTTAATAAACCTGTACTGAATAATAATATTGAAGAAATGAAACCAAAAAAAGAAAAATTATAAAGTAATTAACCTAGGCTTGTATTCCTTTCTATGTTATCTATTTTAGAGAGAGAAAAGAAGCAATCCACCGAAAATTATGGTCAACGATGCCGCCACGGCATGCTAGATACGTTCAATATCTTGGTCCAATGCCTTGGTCACAATACATTTTAAAGTCATCTTATTCTCTCAATAGGTTCACATATGTATGTTAAGGAAGAGAGATGATGAGTATCTAATGTTTGAATATAACTAATTACAATGTTCGCACTTGTTCAGGCAAAATTGCTTTACTTTTTCGTTTCTTTTCTTTTTCTTTGTGTTTTTAATGAAATCAACACCTTTTAATAATCAATTAGAAAGAATTTTTTTTTTAAAGAAACAAACTTTTTTGATCATCTTATATATACATAAAAATACATGTATATATATCGATGTGGTGGTTGCAATATTTTAAGGGTATGCATCAATTGATGATGGCTTTGCGCATTGTGGGTGTATGCGACCATAACCTAATTATGGCCGTTGTGCCTTTTGTAAATGACTGGAAAATATTGCCATATGTAAATAAATGCATAGTCGGTACGTGTTTGTTTTTTTAAATATTTCAGTTTTGACATAACAGCTTTTGAAATTTGTTGTTCTTTAACACTCAATAAAATCTATGATGAGGATGTCTGAACATATATATATATATAAGGAGAAAAATAAATATGCATATAATTACAGTGACTTAAACTATAAATGATCAACTTGAGTATGGTAAAGTAATGGATATATTTTTTATGTTGTGAAATATTTGAGTTTTTTTCACACAAGTCTTGACAAATTGCCATGAGCTACTGTATGTGTTTATGCGATAGAATGCGTACTCGGATCAAAATGTACCGGGAATATTTATTTGAAAATTTTGAAAATTATAATTTTATAACTATTGCTTCAAGTTCATTTCTCTTGGCAGCAATATATATATAAGAATGCATTTCTCCTTGATTATTGAAGGAACATATTTGAGTCTACTTTACGTCTTAATTATCTCAAAATGTTTACTTAATAATGGCAACTCAAAAGATAATAATCAAAACAAAAGATTGATCCACGAAATGATAGCATTCTCACTACCAAACTCTTTTAATGAATGTTTTCTGGTGAACTAACCTTCGTATGTGCTTGAAAACAATCCAATCAATTCAAGCAAAGGATTCTACAGCGACAATGACCTAAACCGATAGTGAACAACGTAATCTCTTTCTATTTTGCCATAAAATGATTGTCTTCAACTTCTCTCATTCCGCATATCAATTCAAAATATTCGGCTAAGATCATTAAATGAACTAAAAAGAATCGTACATTGTAGTGAGTCATGCCCCACCATTAAATACTCTACATCGACCCAAGTGTTATTCATTGAACTCTTTTTAAAATAAAGCTTTTTATGGGATCGAAAAAGCGGTCTGATCTGAACCATTTTTAGTAGCATTCGTTTTTGGGCCAAAACATGTCAGTGTACCAAATTTTATTAAAATATCTCAAAAATTGCGGCCTATAAATTGAAGACAAAACGTACACACGGACAGACAAGCTTTCGGAATCACTTTCTGAATCGATCAGTGGAACGGAATGTGGATCTATCCCAATCTCTGCTGGGTCTTGTATACATTCGACCAAAGTTAATATCACCTTGTATCATAAATTGCGTTTGGCGTAACAAGATGTGTCATGACTAATATATTGATCAAAATATGTTAATTTCTTTATTAGTGATACCAAGACAGTAAGTCCTCTACGATGATTTTTAGCGATAATTTTTTCATTTCATTGCCTGAAGGATTCTATAAAATTTTGAACAAATCGTTCAATTTTGTCTTTACAACGACGAAAGTTTGACCATGAGTCGAAATTTTGTCTCAAATTTTTTGTTTTTCGAGTTGTCAACTCCATGAAATTTATTATTTACTCGTAGGCCATTACCTTGCTTCAGCAACCGAAGTTTTTCATCAAGATCCTCTTGGTCGTAACAACAACCCCAGGGGGTAAGACAATTCCTATTGAACGGGGCTTTACTACCCTGAGGTACCGAATTAGAAAACGGATGTGTGTGCCACCACGGTACTCTCCGAAGCGCCGTACCCAAGCAGTTCGGTAAGAAGGCATTCTCCCGGCAGTCAGTTGGGTGCATATTTTTGCCAGGGGCAATCCTACTTTTGGGCAACCTGACCCCCGCGGATACCTACAAATTTTCATGGCTAGTGGTAGCTACACACAGAAGTGAAAAGAATGTTAAGGTTATACGAAACAGTATGGTACGAATGGATTGGTCATCCATCGTTATCGAAAAAAAAGCCATCGCCATCGATAACGTTTGGGATAAGTTATTAGGACGACCCGCTTAAACCGAGAAAATATCATTTAGTATTGAATTTGCGAAACTTTTACTGAATTAAAAAGAAAAAGTGAAAATCGATTCAAGCTGACTTTTCTCGATACTTTTTGATCAGCATGCATTCAATGAATTTAATTTAGAGCGAAAGAAAATTGAATTATTCTTTCCTCCTGCTCTCTATATATTTTTGGAATAATATAAAACAAAGAAGAGAGATTATTGAAAAATCTCAAAAATAAAAATTCGTGAAATTCGAAAGCTTTTAAAAGTACAGTACAACAACTACGTTACAATTTTGAGTTAAACATACGATGAATGAAAACTCAATTGTGTTTGTAGTCAAAGGACTTGAATCCCCCACATGCACCCGATTTCAATTAGCAATCTTTTAACTGTGTAATTTTCTTCAGAGAAAATTGATCTTAAATGAAAATTTAAATTGTTGTAACACACATTCGACTTATGATTCAAGTCTTGAAAATTTTAAATACATTTGCGTTCGATTTTTACAAAATATACACACCTAGAGTTATTACTATTACAAAGGGATGCAGGAGAGCAATAACCCCGCACTTTTATTACGATGATACCACAGCAAATTAAATAATACACATGTATCTTATTACAGAACGCGGCAACGGCTTTTGTAAATACATTACCCCTGCAGCAGCCAGCCACAGGCACAACAATATTAGCCCTGACTGCGCATTATTATTTGTGTACCCATTAAACGCCTGCAATATTATTTTAAGCTTTCAACAAGAATAAGTCAATTACAATGCTGTGCATGTGTGTTGTCGACCCTTCTCATAGGACTGTCTGCCCAGTTAAATGAGCGCATCCAAGTTGCGTTTATTAGGTTGACGATTTATTTACAAGGAGTAATTTTGTCAAAGCGCCAGGCAGTTAGACGTACAAAATTCACAGTTGTTCAGCTTTAGTGTTCTTCTTGAACTACGCAAGTAAAAAAATCATAAGGTAAAAGTTTTCAATTGCTC